GAGCCACTGCGCAGGCTCACACACAAGGACACCCCTTGGACATGGGGTCAAGACCAAGAAACTGCGTTGCAGGCACTCAAGGTCAGTCTCACAAGCGACACGACAATGTCCTTCTTCTATCCCAGCAGACAGACTGAACTGATAGTTGATGTTAGTCCAGTAGGACTGGGCGCCATTCTCTGTCAAAAAGATGAAAAGGGGATGAAGCACATTATTGCATATGCAAGCAGAGCACTGAGTGATGTGGAAACGAGATACTCGCAGACTGAGAAAGAAGCACTCGCCATTGTGTGGAGTTGTGAACATTTCCATTTGTATGTTTATGGACATCCATTCACACTGGTGACCGATCACAAGGCACTCGAAATCATCTGGAATAACCCAAGATCAAAACCACCTGCCAGAATAGAAAGATGGGGACTGAGACTTCAGCCATATAACTTCAGAGTGGAATACAGAAAAGGTGCTGATAATCCAGCTGACTTTATGTCACGTCATCCAGTGCCAACACAGGAGAATGAAAGTGCTCGTGCATGTAAGGTTGCAGAAGAGTATGTCAATTTCTTCTCTTATCACTCCACCCCAAAAGCCATGACACTTCACGAGATAAAAACAGAGACTCTGAAAGACCAGATTCTGCAGGAAGTCATCGGTCACATCAGGAACAACACGTGGCATCTAACAGATAAATCCCAGCATGCTGACATTTTGAAATCATTCAAACATGTTCGAAGTGAACTAACAGTAGCCGACTCATCTGACTTCATACTCAGAGGCACGAGGATAGTCATCCCAACTGTCCTACAAGAAAGAGCAATACGACTGGCACACGAAGGGCACCAGGGTATCGTCAAGACCAAAGCGCTGCTACGTACCAAAGTATGGTTCCCAGAGATCGATCGGAAAGCAGAATCTGCAGTTCAAATCTGTCTGCCATGCCAAGCTAGCACACCGGTCACACACACTGACCCTCTGCAGATGTCACCATTACCCGAAACACCCTGGCACAGTGTCAGTGCAGACTTTTATGGACCACTCCCTACGGGGGAATACCTGCTCGTTATCACAGACGAGTATTCTCGCTATCCAGTCGTTGAAAGTGTACGCTCAACATCAGCATCTTCTGTTATCCCAGTCATTGACAAAGTGTTTTCCATGTTTGGGATTCCAAGGACAGTAAAAACTGACAATGGTCCTCTTTTTAACAGTGAGGCTTTCTCACAGTTTGCAGGCTACCTAGGATTTCAACATCGCAAAATCACACCTTGTTGGCCTCAGGCAAATGCCGTTGCTGAGAGATTTATGAGAACCCTAGGCAAAGCACTGAGAGTTGCCGAGACGCAGGGCACACCATGGAAACAGCAACTGAACATCTTTCTTCGTGAGTACAGATCTACACCTCATAGCACAACGGCGAGCTCACCAGCTGAAATACTGTTTCAACGCCAGCGATACACCAAGCTCCCTTTCGTTAAAACCACTCCACGCAAGTGTTCAGATGCTGAAGTGAGAGCAAAGGATGATGGTGCCAAGATCAAGATGAAGGTGATTGCAGATGCAACTCGTCGCGCCAGACCACACTCACTGAGTCTGGGTGACACAGTACTGCATCGCCAACCCAAGCACAACAAATTATCCACACCATACAATGTAAAACCCTACTGTTACGTTCTGGTCCCGGCAAGTAAATAAACGTAACAAATAGTTTGCCCCACTCACTTCCCACCCACGCACAAACCCCAACAACGACACCTTTTTTAAGTATTTAAGCAGCCATTTATTTTCATCAGCAGTGAGCAATGCCAAAACAATAAACAAAACTCCCTAAAAAACAATCCCTACTCTTCCCTACACCAAAATAAAAAGATGCCAAAACAAAAGACAAGTCACTTACCTAACTATCTAACGAAAAACAGGAGAAAACTTGTTCAACAAAAGAAAACGGCTTCTCACGCCTACTAGGCTGCGACAGTGAAAGTTATACAGCAAAGGAACAAAAAAGTGACCGCCACTGGTTAACTTATTTACAATTATTTACATGGCAAGGCTAGAGGTACACGTGAATACTCCAGCCTGCACTACAATGACACAACACACAACTCTGTGACCGAGTCAACGGGGTTCCAAACAGCACTCCCAGGTGACTGTCATCCGGACGTTAAGTACTGGAGGTGGTCCATCAATTATCCAGTCGGAAGGTGTGTAGAGACTCCACCCAGATACCTAGCAGCCACGCCCAGGTGTCCACCTCCTAGGAGAGAAAAAAAAGGGAAAATACCGCCACCATCCTCCGGTGGGAGGCACAACACCAACAAACACATCACTGGGTCATAACACTACAAAGTGACTAAGGTTAAGGGTTCTGAAATTACAGCTACACGGGATGGACACTCAATTGTCAGGAATGCCTCATTCTTCAAGAAAATCAGATCTGGACTTGAAGATGCCCCACCTGGACGGCATGTCGATCCCGCCTTAACAGACAAGCCCAGATACCCTGTCAGATCAAACAGACGCGCACCTATGCATCTGTCTGATTACATCAGATCTAAGACCTGAATGTCTGAGTGACCAGTTAAAAGTTATGCTGTGTGTAACATGTTTGTTGTTCCTGAATCTAATACTGTGACCAGTATTATAGTGTTGAATGTTGATAGTGTTTAGTCAGAGATTTGCGCAAATGCAGTGCTGTTTAAGTGATGTTTAAGTGTGGAGAAACTCAAGTAATAAGAACATTCAGCAATTTTATTAAGTGTCATTGTCATAGGTTCAGATTAATAGTTCACCTCGCTGAATACCTACGTTTGTTTAAAAAAAAAAAAGAGAGGTGATTGTGATGTTTACAGAACTTTTATTTTGAAAGGTCGAAGGTAAGGCGGAAGGAAGGATACAAAAGGAAAGACAACAGAAAAACGGTAGATGAGTAAGTTAGCGCTGCAGACTGTTACTGCTGCAAGCCTGAGAATTAAAGAATGGAACTGAGAAATACTCAAGGTGTCATCCTTAATGTTTGAGGCACGCAAACATTACAGACACTATCTCTACTTTCAAGATTAGGCTTCAAACTTTCTTCTTACTTAACGATTAAGTCCCTGTATTCCACCGTTATATGGAAATCAACCATTATAACTTGTGTCAAATCTACTTGTACCTCACAGTTTTCTAAGCACACAGAACCTCAGAGCAGCAGCACATCAGACTGTGTGCAAAAAATCTAGAAGAGAAAATATTTTGACCCATTTCTAAATGATTCTTGTGACCATGCTGCACCACAACACCTGATCTCTGGTTTCCTCACCTCTTCAATCCCACTTTAATACTTGACTAAACTCATTTTCCTGTTTAGGTGTTGCGGCAAAGCCGCCCATCTACAATGCAGGCAACAGCAAACGGAGCTATTTTTGATTCCCTTTGGGTTTTTTCTACTTTTGTGCTACAAAATGTTCAAGCTGATTAAATTCATTAGAATAAAGTTCAGATAATTTTCTCATATTAATGTTGGAGGTAGAAATTCAGGTAACTTTGCACAAAAACTTGCAGAAATTTCCTTCAAAGATGGAGTTTTTACTTTAATACTGTGAGTACATTTCAGAGTCTGTACTCTTTTACCTTTAATTGAGTAAAGAAGCTGAATCAGTATTTCAGCTTTAAGAGGGTATTTTAACACAAACATCAGTCCTTCTACTTAAGTATGTTTGACACTTTGTTTACGTCTAAATTAACTTTACTGTTAACCAGTTTTCATGTTTCTGTAATCTTACCAGTGTGCTCATGCTTTTTTAAGTGAAAAGAGACTTTTAATGATCAAATATAATTATGTTTGTTATTTGTGGATTTTAAATGTCCTTGACAGAGACAGATGATAATCATTATCCTGCACTGTGGTCTCAGGTTTGGTCGAGCTAGCACAAAGAATGGCTATGTTGAACTTCCTCCTGGGATCTACACTAAGAAGTGAGTCCAACATTAGCAGGGTCTCTTTCCTTTATCTGGATTCACTTTAGCATTCACAGTCACGTGAAGCTTGTTATTAACTCGATAAGTCAACCCAGGGTTTCAGCTGAGCGCTCACATGAAACATGGCAGCATCTGATCAATCATATTCATGGAGACGTGTATCAGCAACAGAGCAGCTGAGTTTGCAGAAGGAAGTCAAACTAAACCACAGGAACAATATGAGGAGATTACACACATAATAAAATACTAGCAGTAACACAGCTGCTGCAGACAAATCAGTCGTGTGATCGTGTGTGAGAGGAGAAGGACTGTAAAGGAGTTTGGTGTTAAAAGCTCTGTATGAATGTGGGAGACTTTGAAGGGCTTTAAAAAGGCCAATATAAAATAAAAGGCAGCAAAATTGCTGCCTGTGAAAGTCACCAGACTTATCAGACCTCTGTGATTAAGACCTGTAAGAACACCTATTTGTACTTGTTGGCATTATATCAAACACACACGTATATTAAGCCTTTGTTTGAACTCTGGTTGAATTTGTTACTTTCAGACTGTGAAACATCACAGAGGCTGCAGCTGCAGATCTTTTATTCACCTGGAAATTTACTTTAAATGTTAGATGGAAAATGTATTGCTCAGTTTAACCAAAGTAAGAACAAGAATCCATAAACCTTCATAAAGACAAACATCTCCCCAGAACATTGAGCTGCTGAAGTGTCACTGAAGGGAAAAACTATTTGTCCTCCTCCATCCAGCAACACCTGAAACACCTGAGTGGAAGCTCCTCCCTACACTGTGTTTGAAGCAAAGCACAAAGGAGACACCTGCTGGAGCAGCTGGAGTCCTACAGACACTCAGCCTCTTCACTACACAAACACCTCCTACAACATCCACTCTTTCCACTCTGACTGCTGTGTTTGTGGAAACACTCCAACACACACCGCTTCACATACCAACATAGAAATGTGTGAAAAAGAGCTGAGCTGATATTAAACATGAGGATTTATTCAAAAATACAGAGTCAGGAACAACATCTAGACACACATTACCTCTCAGCAGCAGAAGAACAGCCTTTAAAGTAAACACCAACACCCTTCGACTCGTTGCTCTTTAGAGACACACAGCTGGGTTCAGGTCCAGGAGATTCTGGCCTCTTATTGATCCTAAAAGAAAAACAATAAATGTCACAGCTTCACGAGACAGGAAGGAAAAACTGGAAATACTCAATTAAAGACATGATGAACAATCTCATAAAAATAATGTACTTACTCTTTGTCACATAACAGTCTTTTGTTAAAGTCTACACCAATATACTTCGACTCGTTGCTCTTTAAGGAAACACAGCTGGGTTCAGGTCCAGGTTCTGGATTAGTTTCAGGGTTATGTCCAGCTGAGCCTGGTACGCCCCACAGCTCTGGGCTTTAAAACAACACACACAGAGGTATGAGTGTGAATAATGATGGAGCAGTGATGTGAGTGCTGAGCTGTGACATGGAGAAGAGTCATGGACAGTTAGAGATGGTCATCTCACCTCTGAGCTTTGGTCTGGCTCTCATGTTCCCCACACAGAGTGCTTTTAGAGGGAGGGACTCCCTCCTCTCTGTCCTCACACTGATCCATGCTGCTCAATTCACATCAGCTCACCCACACTTTCTACCTTCACCTGCAGAGGAAACACAAATCATTCATGTGCACATCAACTGAGAGCTGCAGAGGTCGTGTCTGATGTGTTGGACTAGCATCCATCTGAGACGCAGCTTTCATCAGTTCACTACAAAAAGTGTCACAGAGCCGAGTTCAGCCTCCAAATCCTAATAACAGAAGTAATGCTCTGAATGCAGGACTGTAATGGAGGATAAATCAGGTTTTTACAGCCTGAAAGAAACATTCAGTTCATATATTTAATGCATTTAATTTAATGCAGATCTGTTAAATGATGATGGGTATGTTAAGATAGTTAAAGAGCTCCTCCATAAAATGTACAACAATGTAACAATTGGCAATTACATACATAGATGGGAATTTTTTTTAATTTAAAGTTAGAGAATTTTCTATTACGTTTAGTAAACTGAAAAGTAGACAACAGAAGGAATTTGAAAGTAAATTACTTTACGATATAAATAACTATTGTAATAGACATTTTATGTCAGAGGCCGATAAGAAATCCCTGTTGTCTTTACAGGCTCAATTAGATGATCTATACAAGAAAAAGGCTCATGGAGCTTACATTAGAGCTCGTGCAAAAGGGATAGAAGGTGAAAAAGTGCTTCATATTTCTACAATTTGGAGAAACGGAGGCAAGAAAAGAAATCTATTAATACATTAATCATAAATGGGGAGGAATGCACAAATCATAAGACTAGCGGAAGAAAAACATAAATTTTACTCAAATTTATACTCCTCGAAATATTTAATCACTGATTCATTAAGTTTTTTGATCAGATTGAACCTTATATTCCAAAAATCGATTCTGTATTCAGAGAAATTTGTGATTCTGATATATCACTGGATGACCATCCAAAAACTGCTTCAGCTGTGTTTGATGTTTATGCTACAGCCTGTTTACCAATATAATCAATATCAGATATCAGAGCAACAGAAACCTCGGTGATCAGGACGCTGGGACTGAGAACAGGAAGTGGCTCAAACGTCACAGTTTCATAACGTCACCCTGAACTCCACTCACGGAGTGTCTGTCGCCATTGGAGTTTTTAAAGTCCCGTGATAAAGGCGGGTCTTTCTGTGAATCCGCACGCTCATTGGCTAATAGCTTGAGATTGACACATCGATATCCAATGAGCGTGCGGGAACTTCCGACATAAAGTTGTTTCCTTTGAAAAACCAAAGTCTGATTATTTTTGCCTCCACTGACGGAGCCTGTTGTTCCCGCCACAGAGACACAGTAATGTCAGAGCGGTGTTAACACTCACCCTGCCTCAGCACAGCTCTCACTCTCCTCCTGCTCTCTCACACTAAACGGAGGCTCAGCTAAACTCACTTCCTCTCTACTTACAGGAAACCAGCGCTCAGAGGAGCCGACCGGCCTCACATTTCACCCACAGACACAAACAGCGTGGAATTATTTTATGTCATAAGAAGAAACATATTCATGTTAACACTCACCTGCCTCAGCTCCACCTTCCTGCTCCTGCTGCTCTGAACGGAGGCTCAATACTTTCACTTTCACTACTGCTCCCTAAGCACAGAGGATGCTGGGACTTGTAGTTGTTTCCTTCCGGTGCGGTCTTCCTCTTTGTTTGTTTGTGTTTGTGTTCAAGTTATTTCGATCATGTAAACATCAACAGAACACATGAAGCCACACAGAGTTTGTATGTCGAGGTCGGTAGGAGGGTTTGAGGGTTTGTGGAGGGGTCAGAGGGAAGAGGTCTCGCCAGTTGCAGGATCTCTAACATTAGAATCTAAAAATGTGTCTCATATAGGTGTTATTTTGGTACTTTACACGTCACACAGTTTCAACAACTCCTTATATGGTACAAGTTCCTCTTTTCTTTCTGGCTTCCTGTATTTATTAATATGCTTGTATATTTCTACACTAACTTCCTGTTTTTCAGTCTGGCTGAGCACTTAGTTTGTGAGTCAAAAGTGGCCTTGCTTTGCAAACCTTCATTATTAAAGTACATAAAACAATATAATCAGAAAATAAGCACTAAGAATATATTAATTACATGACAGTTCTCCCCCTTTTTGTGTTTCCTAAGAAACACGACATAATTCCTGATTTATCCCATTAAGTTTACCTGCATGTTAAAAGGCTAAAATATAACAAAGGTGATTATGCTAAACAAAATGAAACCTTTCAATTGTCCAACCTTATCTGTCCCCCCAACGGGTTGTATGTTTTCAATGTTTCCTTATAATTCCGTCAAAATTACTTCTATCCACAACAAATAAATCAAGCTCTAAGACAGCACCTGTGAAATGTGAAATGTCCTAAATCTACTTCCTACACCCCCTTTTTTACCCAGAATCCCAGTTTAAACCCACTTCTGACTTCCCTCAGAGCTCACTGTAAACTCTAAACAGATACCATCAGCTTTTTCTGGTAAAAGGTCCTAGATTATTTTGTCAATCTTTGGAAAACGTCCTCTACAGAGTTTCATTTTTAAAACCCCTTTAACGGGTAGCGCATAACCGGCCTGAACACTGCGTTTGGGTTATTTACATAACATAGAAATCCTGTAACTATTCCTAAAGTCCCTCTCATTACTCTTCATTACTTTTATGCTCACATTTAACCTTTGTCTAACGAGCTTTTAATCTCCTAAACAACACATTTTCTGGAACTATGGTTCTCTGTGCTCTGTGCTTCTTTTGGTTCCCCTTTCTCTGGTTGGTTCCGTTCGGTCTCGGGCTTCCAGGATTCTCGCCACCAATGTGGTCGCTGTAGTCCTGAAATCTTCTCCTGTAAAGGATCCTATTCTAAAAATCCTTCTATCCGTTATATTAACTTTACTTAATCTTTCATTAATCTTAATTTACTTGATCTCAATGTTCTTTATGTGTGTGAGCAACACTTTTAATTTTATCAAACACACCCAGGGTTAGATATACACCATCACCCTATCACCATATAAACAGACAGAGATGTTCCTCTTTCTGTCACATTCTTGCATACATGGCAATTTGTTTCACCTTCCAGATGATTCCTGGGGACTTACAATTTCTTGACTCTTCTTCTGTCACTTGTTACTAGGCAGCTCAAATGCAGTTAGAAGCTAAATGAATTCCAGGTCCTCGGCCTGGCCTATGTTTAAATCATTTGTGTTTGTAAGCGTGTATGCGGTTTAATCTTCTACTGCTCCAAGTCACTTACACAATAGATCATGGGGACATCGCGCCAAACGAAGCTTAAGACCTTGAATAGACTGAGCATCAACTCTTTCATGAGCACAATATCCAATGTGTGTATACAATGATTATAGCTGCACCTTTAATAAAAGTTTTAGTCTAATGCCAGTAGCTTTAATAAACATTTTAATGCAGTGTTAATGATGAAGGCTATATTGTAGCAGTAAAGTATTTTCTTTATTCCCACATTCCCTCTCTTGACCTTTCAAAAAGAAAGGTCACCACACTTCGTGTTGTGTCACTCCTCGGCCCATTCGGCCACTTCTAAGTCCATCAATGGCATCATGGCCACCAGAACGACCGTTCCAGGGTCCACTGCCCTCGTTATTACCTTTTCCAGCAGTCCTCTGGCGCAAGGAATGAGACAACAACCGCAGGTGACCAGTATCGCTAAAAAGCGGCAGTAGAAAACATTGCAGACATGAAAAACCCCTTCCATTTCCCAAACACTGAGGTCATCCAGCTGTCCAGCGGATTGTCAATTCCCGAGTGCTCATGCATGGTTTTAGACAGAGTTTTCAGCCCCTCCAGAGCTCGGGTTACTGAGCCATCTGGAGCAGTGTTGTTGGGGATAAAGGTACAACACACTGCTCCAAACATGGCACACACACCCCCTTTCTTTCACGCCAACAACATGTCTAGGGCCATTCGATTTTGCACTCCCATCAGTGAGGTCGGACCCAACTGTTCTGTGAACCCCTCCATGGCATCTCTGGTCAGGTTAGAGAGTCTCAGCAAATTATAATGAACATAGTTTATGCAATCAACATTCTTATTTGGAGTTATCCATATGAACATACTTTCAAATCCTGAAGCTAGTTGGTCCACTAGTTTATACTCATCTGGTACTCCCCTGGGCACTCCTATTGAGTCAATCCAGGTAGGCGAGTTCATTCTAGGGTCATAAGCATGTATCCCCTGTGTCCCTCTCTTTGCCAAAATGTGTCTCTTACGTCTGGCTGCCAATGTGCGTGTGTCGCGTTGTGGTATGGCTTTTACTTTGTTCCCGATTAGCATGAGTGGAGCTCCGAGTCGCACCATTGCGCACGTCCCTTCACTTCCCATATGGGCACGAACCAAAAGGGTGTTACGTCCACAATAATAATAGAGCCCACTTCTTGCCCATGGTCCAATTAAAGTGTTCGTTTGGCTTACTTTGTTTGTGGTTCTCCCTGTGACTGTGACAGAGCACCAACTTGGGTCAATCTCTCCCAACTTGTACTTTATCGTATCCGTTGAGAATTTAAAGCATGTGTAGTTGTTTTGTTTGGGCATGAATGGTCCTACTTGTGTTTGCTTGTGAATTAGGGGAAATAAGCTGGACAAGATAGTCCAGTTGCCAGTACTCACCGCTTCTCTAGTCATCCGCAACATGCAGTCATAGCCCCACTTGTCCTCTGGATACAGTGGTGCGGGCTCCGTGAACAAACGTGGTCTAGCTGAAGCACAGGCAACACAATCAGATACATGTTGTTCTTTAGCATTTTGAGCCACCCAGTCCAGCCAGAGGTTACTGTCACTGAAGCCGGTGACACGCTCAATCAGGTCCTCAGTCCTAGTGTAATCCACCGTCAGGACTGGCCTCCCGTTTGTTTCCTGCTCCTCTTAATGTAATGGTACATTTTATTTTACTTTATCAGACTTACCCAAAATATATATGCTGTCGTTACTTTGCTCCTGTCTCCCTCCAGTAGCAGC